AGAGGATGGATTAGAAGGCCTTTTTAGGCTGGTGCTGTGGCTCACTTGGTTAATCCTCCACCTGCGGTGCCGGCATCCCATATGGGTGCTGGTTCTAGTCCCGGTTGCTCCTCTTCCAGTCCAGCTCTCTGCTGTGGCCCAGGAGGGAAGTGGAGGATGGCCCAGGTCCTTGGAAGTAAGCACCTGGCTCCTGGCTTCAGATCAGTGCAATGCTGGCCGTAGCGGCCATTTGGGGAGTGAACCAACAGAAGGAAGACCTTTCTCTCTGTCTCTCTCTCATTGTCTATAACTCTACCTGTCAAATAAATAAATAAATAAGGTCTTTTTAATTTAGAAATTATTACAGAAAACTTCCTTAATTTGGAGGAAGAAAGGGATAGAAAGCACATAAAACTGCTAATAGACCTGACCAGAAAAGATCTTCACCACAATACATGGTAGTCAAACACTCCACAGTAGAACAAAAATAAAAGATTCTAAAATGTGCATGAGATAAATGCCAGATTTCTTTCAGAGGATCTCTAATTAGACTCACAGCTGACTTCCCATCATAAACCCTCAGGCTAGGAGAGAATGGCGAGACATAGTCCAAGGCTTAAGAGAAAAAACTGTCAACTCAGAATACCATACCCTGCCAAGCTCTCATTTATGGATGAAGGTGAAATAAAGACCTTCCATAACAAATAGAAATTGAAAGAATTTGTCACCACTTATCCAGCCTTACAAAAGATGCTTAAGGATGGGCTACACACAGAAACACAGTTATCACTATGAAAGAAAGTGAAGGCAGAAAATCTCCCAGTAAAAGTACAAAGAAAATCCAAAGTAAACAATAAGAATACTTATGGAAAAACAGCAAGGCAAAGTCATTACTTATCAATAGTTACCTTGCATATAAATGCCCTGAACTCTCCAGGTAAAAGACACAGATTGGCTGAATGGATTAAAAAAACAAAACTCATCTATTTGCTGTCTGCACGAAACCCATCTCACCAACAAAGATACATGAAGACTGAAAGTGAAAGGATGGAAAAAGATATTCCATGCTAACAGAAACCAAAAAAGAGGTGGTGTAGCCATCCCAATACCAGACAAAATAGACTTTAACACAAAAACTGTTAAGAAACAATGAAAGGCACTATGTAATGATTATGGCATCAATTCAATAGAAGATGTGACTATTACAAACATGTATACACCAAGTTACAGGGCACTTGGCTATTTAAAAGAAATGTTAAGGGATCTAAAGGGAGACGTAGACTCCAGTACAATAGTAATGGGGAACTTCAATACTCTACTTTCAGCAATGGACAGATCAACCAGACAGAAATTCAGCAAGAAAACAACGGAGTTAACTGAACTACAGACCAAATGGACCTAACAGATATCTATAGAACTTTTCATCCTACAGTTGGAGAATATATATTCTTTTCACCAGTGTATGGAACTTTCTCTAGGAAAGATCACATACTAAGCCATAAAGCAAGTCTTGGAAAATGCAAACAAATCAAAATCATAACTATGTTATACTCTCTCACCACAATGGAATGAAGCTGGCAATCAACAACTCAAGAATCTCTAGAGCATATGCAAACACATGGAGACTGAACAACATGCTCCTGAATGAACAGCGGATCTTTGAAGAAATCAAGGGAGAAACAAGATTTCTGGAAATGAATTAAGATGATCTGTACCCTCATGTTTATTGCAGCTCAATTCACAACAGCTAAGATATGGAATCAACCCAAATATCTATCAACCAAAGACTGAATAAAGAAATTATGGGATATGTACACCATGGAATACTACACAGCAGTTAAAAAATGAAATCCTGTCATTTGCAACAAAATGGACAAACTGGAAAACATCATACTTAGTGAAATTAGCCAGTCCCAAAAGGACAAATACCTTATGTTCTCCCTGATCTGTGATAACTATTAGAGCACCTAAGAGATAATCTATAAAAGTGAAGCTGATACTTTGAGATGCAATGACTTTGAACAGCCCTTGTCTCCATTGTTGAGGAAGTATTTTTTTTATACTATTTGTTGAACTCTTTACTTAGTAGTTAATTACATGTGTATAAAATTAATTGAAGGGGCCAGTACTGTGGTGTAGCAGGTAAAGCTGCTGTCTGCAATGCTGGCATCCCATATGGGTGCCGGTTCAAGACCTGGATACTCCACTTCTGATCCAGCTCTCGCTATGGCCTGGGAAAGCAATAGAAGATAGCCCAACTCTTGGGCCCCTACATCCTGGTATTGATTGGCCCAGCTCTGGCCACTGTGGCCACTTCTCTCTCTGCTTCTGTAACTCTTCCAAATAAATAAATAAATCTTACAAAAATTAATTGAAAATAGATCTTAGTGAAAAATAAGAATGGGAATAGGAGATGGAGGAGAAAGAAGTGGAAGTATGGGTAGGAGGGTGGATACGGTGGGAAGAATCACTATGTTCCTAAAGTTGTATTTATGAAATACATGAAGTTTGTATTCCTTAAATAAAAGTTTTCTGAGGAAAAAAAAAAAAGGATGTATCCCCTCCCCCCAAAAAAGCTACAGATTAAAACATACTTGATGTGTTTTAACCCCTTATAGCTATCATCCTCACTGATACTAATGGTCTCAAGCCCTTTTAGATCAATGCCCCATTTACATGAGATGGTTGTTCATCTGGATACCAGAATGCAACTTCATGCTCAGGAAAGGAACTTTCTTTTTTTTTCCCTGAAATCTACATTCATCATTTTACAGGTGGCCCAGCTTCTGGGAAATCAGAGGAACACTGACATTTCTGGAGAGCACAGGGCTTAGAAAAGGGAAGCATAGTTATGTGATACCAAGTTGAAGGTACTTTACAAAAAGCGTACTTGATATTTTTATATTACCTCAGAGATAGAGAATAATAGAAGACTAGCCTGAAGTATGGAATAAGATGACATTTGACTATTATTTATAAAACAAGTATTATATTGGTGCTTTGATAATCTATGGAAAAAAGTTGAGTCTTTGTTCTCCAGAAGATTCCCTAAGAATCCTGGTCAGGACAGACTTGAGTAGATCTGAACTTGAAAGTCCACGGAAAGGTCTGTGGAATATCTCTGAGCCCCCTAAGTTGTGTTGGCATGTATGCACATATAAACATTTTCTGGGGGAGAAAGCCCACAGCATTTCTTAAGAGTCTCAAAATCCTCATGTTCTAAGTTTAGGTACCACTGGAATTGAATAATCATTCACAGGAGATACCCTGTCTTGTGGCTGTTCTGATGACTGCTCAGATGTGCAGAAGAGAAATCAAAACTCCTCTGGTTCCAGCATTTCGAAGCTTTCTCTAGATCTAGGGAGATTCATCTGCTACATTCCCTTCATGGAAACTAGGTTCCATAGATAAAGGTGTACTACTCTTTTGAAGGTGCTCTTCTCAGGCAACTTAAAAAATCCAAGTTTGTAGGTTGAGATGCCATCTGTTTTGCATCCCTACAACTCCTAAATGTCCCAAAGAGACACTTATACCAACCAGTTTCATCTCCAGGGTCAGGCAGGAGTTTCCACTGAGGAATACAGGAGTTCCCACTTTAAGGTCCTTCTACATCTCAGTCAAGATTCACAGATGTGAGCCTTGATGAGGCATTTTCTGATGCTTATAAAATTTAATTATTAACATTATAGTTAGCCAATTATATCTGAAATAAATGAAACAAGTATTGTGCTGCATTTATATACTGAAAAAAAAAAGCATTAAACACAAAGTAGACTCATCTGGCATATGGCTGAACACCTGTGGGGTCAGCTGACATGTGTCTTAACAGATGCCTGGGTGATTTGGTGAGATTATCATCTCACTGACTGCTAGTTAATCCAATGACTTGATTTTCCTTGCCACTTTGTGTGTACACATCCTGAAATGCAGCCCTGAGTTTAACTTCTGGGTCGACACTACCTATCCTTTTCCTGGTAATATGTAAGCATACCCCCTGGAAATTTCTCTTCAGCTCCAATCTGGAAGGTAACCAGGCAAACAGGGAGGACAGAAGACACATGTTAAGGCTTACTGTAAGTCATTTATATAAAGGAGACTGGCTAGATAAGAGATTACTAAATGCTGATACAAGGAATTCACTGTATCAGAATCACTAGGAGAGCACATTTGCAAACATAAATGATCAGCATCTTCCTCTTCCTCAACCCTGGTCTGGATTCAGCAAAATGATATATGTGTGTTTAAACACACTTTGACTCTGATGTCCAAATGAGTTTTAGAACTCCTGAAATATAAGACTGAATGCTCTCAAACACAGATGCAATTGCTGAAGGATATTCATTTCATACATTTACTCAGCTTCTGAGTCTTATTTTCTTACTTGAAGAAACCAAGGGAAGATACAATTTTAAATAAAACATCATTCCATTACCAGCATTTGAACTACCACTGGCTTCTGTAACTTCCTAAACTGATCAAAGTAATTGTGGAAGGAATGATATTCTATGAAGAAAAATCAAAACTCCTCTGGATCCAGAATTTCGAAGCTTCCTCTGGATCCAGGGAGATTCATTTGCTAGGATATTCCTCTCAAGGAAACTAGGTTCCAGGGCTCAAGGTGTATTACTCTCTTGTAGGTGTCCTCCTAAGTCTTTCTGGTGTTAAAGATCAATCATTGGTGTAGTCTACATCTTTGAACTTGAATTTCCAAAATTAGGAATCTGAGACACCTGGATGAAAATATGAAATTTATCAAATTGATTAGGATGTTTTGCTGTTAGTTTTATTATGGGCCCAGCAAGTGGCCAACTGTTCATTTGTTTTCCATACAACTGTTATTTATGCTGTGTTCTTAAAAGCTTTGTTTCGTAAGATTCACAACACTGATGTAACTGAACCTTTCTCTTACTCATCAATGATTTTCAAAGCTTTAATATTTGTACTTTTTATTAACTTTTCTGAGGCCTGCCATTACCTCTTCTGCCACAGAAACTCCCAAAATATCCACCAGGCAAGAAATCTTTAGGGTGATTATGTGTGTGTTTTTTTTTAATTGTATAATTCATTTATACAGAGAAATCATTTGGATTGATCTATTTACAGTCTTTTTCGATTTTGCATTTCCACTGGCCAAATATATTTCACATGATAGTCAACATGACTTGAACTGATTCCAATTATAAACCTGTATGACATAGGGCTTAAAAGTCCTCCCAACCTGTATTAAAGGCCATGATTTCATTTTAACAGAAACATTTTGCAGTAAAAGATTCACAAATATTTTCTCCATCTTATGTATAAATCCACTGAAACTGATCTAATGTGGTCAAATTTTCAGGACATTTCATTGTTTCTTTTCAAACTCATTATTTGCAGGTATTATAAACCAAGGCAAATAAAGTCCACATCCCCTCAAGCCTTCTACAACTTACTCTATTCCCTCAAGTTGAACTTTTCCTATCTCCTTTCATACTCTGGCACAACCAGACATTTTTACTTTAAGACAAATCTACTCTCTTTCCCCCTCTTTTTAATTTTTAACTTATACCAGACTGCCTTCCCTCTTGCTTTTCAGACAACACTAACACTTTCAACAAAATCCTTAAGTGGTTTTCTTTCAGTAGTCTAGAATATACTGTCATTTCATGTGTCTTCACCACTATGAAATGCTACACTGTAAAAATTGCAATTTTCTTATTGGCTCAAAAACAGTATGGCTTGGTTTCACTTGGTAAAATTAATATGATTAAAATATATATATATATATACACACACACACATAAACATACATTTTAATCAGGAAGAAAAACACTTTAAAGACATGCCAATTTGAAAAGGCATCAAAGTAAAAAAATAAAAGCAAATACTAAAAACTACTTTACATTAAAAAAATTAAATAATTGGCAGGTTAAATGAATGAAAAATGAGGAATGTGCAGTGAAAAACAAATTTATAATGCATTCCAGTTTGAGAAAATGGAAAACCTATCAAGTTTTATGGTTTGTTTTCTGAAGAAAGTATGTTTCAATATCAATTTTAAAATCTTCCAAACATATATTCCATACAGATTTTAGATGCCAATATTAAAATTTCAAATTTTGTATACAAAGTTTATAAAAGAAACACTGGTAGAATTCCAGTACTTGTAAAGTTCTGTTTTTGAGAATATTGTGAATGTCACAATTGATTGGTACTGGAAAGTCATGAGAAATCCAGAACTGGGAGAAAACCCATTTCACGAGTATTTCATCTGATTAAAAATACCAAGCTTGTAAAGCTTGTATGTTCTAAATAATCCAAGAAAATATCTTAAAAAAAAAAAAAAAAAAACTGTCATTTAACAGTAATCCATGTATCTTTAGCTGCCATTAAAAAAAAAAAAAAAGAACCCAAAACAAAGAAAATGTTACAACTGGTATGGTATGGAGTAACCCTACAATGCTTCCATGCTCACATTACGAGAAAAATGAAACTGTACACATTTATAAATAAACAGTCTGTCCACCAGTTAATACACACAGCTTCCTTTATACCAAAGTCTCTTTCCGCTTGCCACTTAACTGGGCTTTGTCTCTTGCTCTTCGGAAGCCAGACTGTGTTCGGTGTGCCTTTACACTCTTGGTGTCTTCTGCTGTCTGTACAGTAGAACCACATTCTGCAGTGTTTTCATCAACTTCTACCTGAATAACACTGGAAGCTGTAGATGCCCTTCTCTGAGCTTGGAGGTTCCCAGTACAGGGGTTGTTCTCTTCACACTCTTCGTGAAGCTCTGGCAAACCCTGAAGCTCTGGTGGACTTGTGGCCTGCTGGAAGGGGGCAATGGCGCTTCGAATACAATTGAACCACTGCTGCTTATGAAACACATCATTGGCTTGTAGAGTGTGAGACTGGCCTGGAGAAGGGTCTTGGAAGCGAACTCTAAAGATATTTTTAGCTGGAGAAAATAAAAGTTGAAAAAAAGGAAATCAGACTTTAAAAAGTCTTTGAAACTTTTAAAATCTTTAAAAATATTTTTCAGATTTTTAATTTAATTGAGAGACAGTGAGAGAAAAAGAGACATAGAGGAGACAGAGATCTTACCTACTGGCTTATTCCCCAGACGTCCACAATCACTGAGGGAGGACCAGAGCCAGGAGCTAGGAACTCAATCCAAGTCTCCCACAAAGCCGGCAGGAACTCAAGTACTATCAACTGTTGTCTCCCAGTGTCTACATAGCAGGAAGCTAGAGTTAGGAGCCAGAGCTGGGAGTCAACCTCAGGCACTGAGGTAGAACAAGGGTGTGCCAACTAGCAGGTTAACTGGTCAAATGCCTGCCCCTGGTTACACAATCTTAACATGGGTGCTGGTATTTATGTGGCATTATCAATTATGTAGAAATATTAAATTAAATATACCTACTGGTGTCAGAGCCTCAAACCCTGGCAACTTACTGTTAACAATTATAGGACCACGAACCTACTCCATTTCTAGAATTCTTAAAGATTAAAACTAAATTCAGAGGCAGGTATGTGACATTGTGGTTAAAAATGCCACTTGGGACACCTACAACCTGTATCAGAGTGCCTGAGCTTAAATCCCAGCTCTGCTTATGATTCTTGCTCCCTGCTAATGTGCACCCCAGGAGGCAGCAGATGACAGCTGAAGTACACTTGGGTCCTTGCCACCTACATGGAAGACCTAGATTGAGTCTTAGGCCTTTGGCTTTGGTCTGGCCCAGCACCAGCTATTGTCGGCATTTGGGGAGTGAATCAGCAGACAGAAGATCTCTATCTGCCTTTCAAATAAAGTAAATAAATACTAAAAAAAAACCTAAATTCATTTAGATTCTGAATTTATGTTTTGTTAAACTATTTTAAAGCTTAGATTTTACCTTTATCTGAGTTGCCAAAAGCTCCTCGAAAGGACCCTCCCATGCGTACATCCCCATCCTGCAGGTCTTCTAGGACCAGCTCCTGGACTGGGATTGGCTGCCGGTACACCTGGTAAGAGTGGCGCTCATTTCGTGTAACAGGCCGAGTCAAAACCAAAATGTCTTGAAACAGGAAAACGTACAGTTTCTGGAAAAAAGGGCAAACAAATGCTTTTTAAATATAGAAGTATATGATTTAAAATGAAATATATTGTTAAAAACCACAACTTATAAACCGGGCTTTTGAAAAGCACATAATGAACAAAATATCAATTCTATAATACTTGGTTTTGGCTGGTACTTTTGTAACTAACATTTTAAAAATAAATTTGTGTTCATTCAATCTGCTTCATAAATTTACTGCATAGTAATAAACACTATTTCTATCAACAATAAACTCAAAATTTTTTGAAGGATTTTACACCAAGAGAGAAGAGGCAGAGGGAGAGAGGTCTTCCATCCAATGATTCACTCCCCAATTGGCCGCAACGGCCGGAACTGTGCCGATCTGAAGTCAGGGGCCAGGAGCCTCCTCCCAGTCTCCCATGCAGGTGCAGGGGCCCAAGGACTTGGGCCATCTTCTACTGCCTCCCCAGGCCACAGCAGAGAGCTGGTTTGGAAGTGGAGCAACCGGGTCTCAAACCGGTGCCCATATGGGATACCCACGCTTCAGGCCAGGGCATCAACCCACTGCGCCACAGCGCCGGCCCCAACGTTCTTTTTCTATGCCATGAATTTATTTTTACAAATTGGTTTCATAAGTTACATGCAAAAAATTGAACAGGGTAGGAAAAGGCAGCTTACTTCTTTCTAGTATTCAAAAAGACTTACGTGTCCATTTTTATTCTTCAGTTCCCCATGGCACAACAATACTTTGCTTGCTTCAATTCTAGGATCCTTCTGCTTTTCATCCAGATACTCCAGCTTGTCAATGTAATACTGACACTCAGATTCGCCTTTCTTCAAGTTGATATCAGACAGAACTCCTTGTATTATCAACACCTAAAGATTATCAAAATATTGATGGAGCAACAACTTTAGTATATGGACTCATCCTGCTTCCCTACAGGGCAAAAATGTCACATAAAATCATAGATTTTAAATCTTGCAAAGGACTCTAGAAATCAGTTAATTGTCAGTCCGTTCATTTTGCAAACGAAGAAACAGTGCCAGCCCAACTGGCACTGTCCAGTCACTAAACAAGCTAGCAGAAGTGACTAGATTAAAATACAGCCCCTTCATTAAAATATAATACGTGTTAAGTACAACACTGGTACATCTTCTTACTGCCTAGTGCACAGTGCACCAATGTTTTGGGTACTTAATAACAAAATACTTCACTATGTTGATTCAATACACATAAAATGAAATTATTATTTTATACATTTCCAAGCCACTTAATATACCATTGACTAATAAAAGAATCATTCACTGGACTACTTACAGCTTCCTCCAGAAGCTGAACATCAGGGTGGTCTTTCGGAGTGTGCCTAAGAATTTCTTTTAACAGTAAAGGGTATTTGACTAAGCGACTTCGAGGGATATCGAGGAAGCTCCAAAGATCAAGTTTTCGACTGAAAGGAGACTCAAGACACCGCTGGAGGAAATCTTGGACTCTTGGATCCTGCTTCTTTTGATCAAGAAGCGCTTTGGCTGCCAGCTGGTTACTACAGTATCCTTTGTAGGCATTCAAGCCTGGTAACTGAATAATAAAGAAAAGGAGAATGTATGATGCCTACTTGTTATGACTGCACTAATAAGCCTGTGAACAGGAAATACAAAACATACAGCTCTTATTGAGACACTGAACAAGCTGTGGATATTTTCCTGCAGATGTTAATAGGAGCTTAACAGTATTCTGGACCATCATCAGAATGTTCTTTTACAATTCCCCTAATTTGGCTAATTTCAACTGGACTTAACAACCTCTATTTCCCCCAACCTCAGGTATATACTCAGTTATCTCTGTTTTCAAAACACTCAAGAACCTTCTACCATTTCTAAATGCAACTGACTACCCAGTGACACCCTTCTTGAACAGTGCCCAGCCTCTGGAAGGCACTCAAACCTTGAGTGAATAAATGTAACAGATAATTAATAGCAGATAATGTGGGTGTTCTGCCCAAGCACATATTTTTTGTAAATAGATTTGTAACACAAATGAAAATACACCAGGAATGAAGTTTAAAAAAAAAACAGATTGTAACTTTTACATCATTGTAAAAGATTTTTACCTCATTGTAGGTATGTTGAGTTTTTATGCTTTATCTGTTTGTGGGATCCAGTTATGGGATCTAACTGATTTGACATCCATCATAAACACTGGCATTAATGTAAGAAGCAATCTGGGGTTGACAACTTGCTACATACCCACTTCACAAGAATGTGACCAATCTGCTCTACTGTTCCATCAGGCTTGGTTGCTTCTCCTATTCTCGCCAACAAATCTGAAGTGTAAAAAGACCAGAAAGACCAATAACAGGTTTATTTACAAAACAGGTCAGCACTACATTAGAAGTTTAGATCTAAAATTACTTGTGTTGCCCAAATGCTAATGAAAATTAAGTAGCATATCTAACCTTCATGGAGAGGTATGTAAGCATCCAAATCACCAAATATGTGTGTGAGTTCCTCTTCTGACATGATGGACAACTTTAACATGGGGTCATGGTATGCCTATCAGAGGTAGAGAAAAGTGTCACACATACAGATTAAGCACAGAAAACATGATGAGAAATCTGGGCTTGATTGCAAACGTGGCTAAGACATAAAAGCCAGTGTAGAAACTGTTTGCTACACGTAAAAGAATCAAAAGTGTATGCTAATCCTCAAATAGGCTCTCCTATGAAGACTCGTATTTGAAAAGATGTACCTTATCTTCATCTAACGTACATATTCACCAGTAGATATTTTTTGCTTCCAAAGGTTAAGAAAATGATCCTTTAGAATTTGTGAAATATAACTTTTAGGGGCCAGCGCCGTGGCTCACTTGGTTAATCCTCCGCCTGCGGTGCTGGCATCCCATATGGGCGCCGGGTTCTAGTCCTGGTTGCTCCTCTTCCAGTGCAGCTCTCCGCTGTGGCCCGGGAAGGCAGTGGAGGATGGCCCAAGGGCTTGGGCCCCTGCACCCGCATGGGAGACCAGGAAGAAGCACCTGGCACCTGGCACCTGGCACAGTACCGGCCATAGTGGCCATTTGGGGAGTGAACCAACGGAAGGAAGACCTTTCTCTCTGTCTCTCCCTCTCTCACTGTCTATAATTCTGTCGAATAAATAAAAAAAAGAAAGAAAAATAACTTTTAAAAAATATAACATCTGATAAGAGGTTATTTACTGACCTTTCTTGCAAGCTTGAGATCCTCAATTAAATCCTGTTCACCTCGGGACATTTCATATATCGCCTAAAAAACATCCACCAAACATCAGAGTCATTCCTTCCTTTGAAAAAGGAAAATTATATATAACATATCCTTGTATTATCTAACTGAAGCTTTGAACAGCATTCTATGACTCAGTCTTGAAAACTATAAATCAGAGTGGAATTCCAAATGAAAGGTTGCCATGTATTCTATAATTCTACCCCATCAGAGCTGTTTAGTTTGATGGCCATCACCAAGTGTTACTCATCATGTATTATTGCTGCTCAAATACAAAAATTCAAGTTAATTTTGCCATAGGGATTAGTTTGCTATCCTTTTGGCAAAATATATACTTAAAAAACAGGGTGTTTTTTGGGCACAGGCTAATCAATATGGTCTTGGTACTGAATGCTACCATACCTCCTGACGTTTGATTTCTCTGGTGGTTAAAGACTCCTTCATACTGATGTCAAACATCTCTGACCACAGTACACTGCTTCTTCTTTTGGCAGGTGTTGGGACTGTCGACCTGCTAGATGACTTTTGGGCAGAGGCTGGGGATCTGTGGTCACCACGAAGGGTAAATGACTTAAAAAAAGAGGTGAGGCAAAAGGTAAAATAAGATTAAGGATGTAATAATTACTCTCTTTTCTTTTTCTTAAAGCAAAGAAAACTAATTAAAAACAAAGTTCTGAGAATTTCTCAACACAATCATTTATGTAAGCTTCAATCCACCATTCTAAAATATTTACCAGCTAAAACTGCTTTCTGGAACTATCCTTTGATAAAAGATGTGACTTAACATTTTGAGGTTTCCCCTAAATGAAAGATCTCTGTGAGTGAGATCCCAGTGGAAAGAACAGGTCTTCAAAGAAGGAGGTACCTTTCTCTGAAGGGAGGAGAGAACCTCCACTTTGACTATGACCTTGTCTAAACAAGATAAGAGTCGGAGAACTCAAAAGGCTTCCATAGCCTTGGAATCTCATGACTGGAGCATAGGGAGATTACTGATGCCATAAACAGGAGTGTCAATTTGTAAAGTCAACAACAGGAGTCACTGTGCACTTACTCCTCATGTAGGATCTCTGTCCTTAATGTGCTGTACATTGAGATTTAATGCTATAACGAGTACTCAAACAGTGTATTTCACTTTGTGTTTCTATGGGGGTACAAACTGTTGAAATCTTTACTTAATGTATACTAAACTGATCTTCTGTAAAAAAAAAAAAAAAAAAAGAAATTATCAATTCCCAACTTGACTCTCACTGGGATTAAACATGACAATAGGTCTGATCTGATTTCATCATCATTTAAAAAATCATCTATTATTTTCCACTTTATGTTTCTGTGTGGGAGCAAACTGTTGAAATCTTTACTTAATGTATACTAAACTGATCTTCTGTATATTAAGAGAATCGAAAATGAATCTTGATGAATGGAAGGGGAGAGGGAGTGGGAAAGGGGAGGGTTGCGGGTGGGAGGGACGTTATGGGGGGGAAGCCATTGTAATCCATAAGTCGTACTTTGGAAATTTATATTCATTAAATAAAAGTTAAAAAAAAAAAAACATTTTGAGGTTTCCACAAACACTGTTCTAATAACAACATTCCTTACCAGCATATCCCAAAAAGAAAACATGTTTAAGTACAATAGCACAAACCTGTTTGTATGGCTCAAAAAAATTAATTTCAGGCTTTTACTAAAAAGTCCCCTGACTACATTCTCTCATTTTCCCTGTTCTTACCTGTATTGTTTGACCAAAACGTCTGACTGCTCCATTTCTTACAGGAGAGATTAAATTTGCCAAGGATGTGACTCGAGCTAGAGGTCGAACTCTTTTATTGCTTGGCTCCTATGAAAACAAAATCAGATTACACTAAATGTATGTTTAAGCACAATGATTTCAAATAAGCTTAGACAAAGTTAAGCCTCTCACAAAATAAGTTTGTACATTACAAAACACAGAAACATGTACGTGTGAAAATGAACAGATGTTCTTCATTGTTAAAACAGTAAGAACACTATCAAGTATCAGCAATTTACCAAAAAATAAATGTTCTAAGAAAGGCCAGTCAATATTTGAATATCACCTTGAGAATATAACAAATAGTACCAGTAGAAGAAAAAAAATGAAATTTAAAACAAAGAAATCAGATTCTAAAATCCTATAGAACTTTCTAGCTTAATGTGGAGAATAACTTTTTAAAAAATGATTCATTATTGTGAAAATGTTATTCAAAAACATGGAAGAGAGCAGCATAATGAATCCCACATATCTATCACTCAGATTCAGTAGTTTCTGGTATCATATTTTGTTTCACTTCTGCCTCTACTTGAATATTTTCAAGCAAATCCCAGATATTTTATAATTTCATTTTTAACTGTTTCAGTTACAGAGTAACCTTTAAAGAAACATGACATCTGAATAGCTCAAAATGCATTCAAGTGGTTAAATGAGCTCTTAGGTTCTGGAATCAGACTGACTGGCTCAAATTCGGGCTCTCATACTTGTTGGGGGTACATCTGGAGCCTTAGCCCACTCATTTGCAAAATAGGGTTAATAGCAGGGGTTCTCTTATAAAGTTGTTGTGATCAATCAGTAAATAGAGCTCAGAACAGTGCTTGGTACATACCAGATTTTAATTATTATGAACACTTTTTTAAGGAATATTTCCACTTACTACATAAACATTGGAATTTATAAATAATTAGATCCTCAACCATATATTTATTAACAAAGAAAAAATATACACAAATTCAGAGGAATCAGTTATTGTTCTACATGTATTACTTAAAAATATTATTGATATGGCAAACATATCACTTATCATTCCAGGATCTCAACATTTCACAAAAACTGGATCATCTAATTTTACTGCTAGGAAAATGGAGGCATATCACTAGGTGACTGGCATAGTTATTGAAATAAAGAAAGTCAGATCATAAAACAGGTAGATTTATTCTTTATAATGTCTAAGGAGCATACTTAGCTTTTTTTTTGTATTTGGTGTCTTTCACAATTGTGGCAAACTCAACAAAATAATTCTTAAGGATATATATAATTAAAAATTATATTAGAATCACCATGTAAAAATAAAGATTATTATTTTAAAATAATGGAATTTTTTTCCTAAAAATTCTTGACATGACTAAAGTCATATAAAAAGAGGTGAGGAAAGTGAATAAAAATAATCCCTTTCAAGAAATTTAAGAAGAGACTGATAAAGTCTAAAAATTATTTGAAAAGAAATTTAGGTGATATAAAAAAAGCAATTAAGACTTATCAAAGCTGCTGAATGGATACATATATATATATATATATATTAAAAACACGAACTACTAGAGTAAAGAGACTTTGTAGATAAGGAAAATTCAGAACTATGAAGAATTTAAGAGGTGGAGTTGTAGATGACTTTTTCTACCCCCTAAATAAATGAACTCCAAAGGCAAACTCTGAATAAAGCCACTAATGAGCAAATGTTAAATGAACTGAAATAAAGACCCCTGAGCTGTATGGTAGGATGGCACGAGCTGTGCGGCTGGGGACATATGTGAATGCCTTTACCACACACATCTGTGCAGACTGAGTGACACATGCGTGTGCAGAGGCAAGCACAAGGCATTCCTTTCCATTTAGTAAAGACAGAACAAAGAGTCTCCTGTTTGAATGGATTGAATTACCTCACGAAGTTAATGCCTACTACATTAACGCCTTCTACATCAACTAGAAAAAAAAAGCAGTTGTCACAAAGTTTTATTCTTCTTTTTTGCAAACAGAGGTTAACTCTTCTTTGATTAAAGCATAATAAAACTGACTTCCTAGTAAATCACAAAACATTTAAATTAAATTTAAATTTAAATTCACTTTATGGTGAATTTTAAAAGAAAGTTAAAGAAGAAAAAAATTTTTGGTATTTGCTATATTATATAAAATCAAATTAATGATAAATGTTCTCACCTCCATAGTTACTGTAACAACTAATTTCCTGGTAACTCAAAATTATGTGATATTTAAAATGAACATCACAGAATTTAGGTAACTAAATGTAAATATGTCTAAAAGATATTTCTAAAATGAATATGGATTTTGTGCAGTATCTTCAGGGTGGCAGGATATTATATTAATCAGTATTTGATTGTTGAATATGTTTCATAATTTTAAAAACTCAACTACAATCTCTCTTTCACAAAGGTCAAGTTACTCTTCAGAGCTGATCAAGTATGGCATGTTTTGGTAACAAAGTATGGTAACTAAATCAGGAAATAAGGGTTTGGGAGGGACAGAAATGGTCCTCTACAGTTTTGCTTTTGGGAATCCAATAGTAACTGTCTTACTCAAAGGACATATGTGAAGAACAGCGGACAAATACAACACAAGCTTTGGCATATGTATTTCAAAAGGATAAAAAATTTTAACAAATAAGTGTGATTATGAAATATGAAAGTATTGTAAAAATATATTTATAATACTGAAAGCATTACAAAAGTATGACACTAATTTCAAGACACATATACTATTTGAAAAAAAAAAAGTCAAACAGAAGACTTCTGTGGAAGAATGTTATAGATTAGACATCTGTGGGTCACCTAAAACACTAGGAAAAACTTTGTCTCCTTTGGAATACAGGTGAGTTACAAACAAAAGTACTTACTTTATGATCTGATTTGTTTACTAAGATCCTAAGCATTTGTACTGTCACAAAACATTTCTAAGATGAGGCTTTCAGAGAACTGGTACTACGCTCACATTCGTGTTTCCCCATGGACTGGATGCAGGAATACCATTTAAAAGTGATCCAGGAAAACAGCAGGAATATATCTTACCACCACCAAAAGTAAAAACTCATAATGTTTGTTGTTGTTATTGTTTATTTTTGTTTTGGAGTGCTGGAAACAAGTTATGGAGAATATTAAGCTGAAAAATGTGGATACTGAAACTATACAACCTTCTCAGAAGGCAGCCTGAAAATCCAGGGGTATAAAAACGAATACCAAGAGCTTTACATGCTCAAACCTTTTAATTGTAGGCAGCCTTTCACCAGGGCTAAAGTTCACCTGAAGGGGAAAAACCCAACATTCTGTAACGTAAGTTTATGTTGTTTATTTAGGTTAATTTTTAATCAGACTATTTAGTTTAGCTAGGTAGTCACATGAATTATTATATGGAATCTGCCTTCAGACTGGGTTTTCAATTAATAAATTCTCATAATCCACTTGCAGTCAGGTTTTATGTCCTAACAAATTTTCTGGTTATCCATCAACAGAAAATTTTTAAGAATAAGGTCTTTATTGGGATGTACCTTACACGTAAATGCAACCACATGGAAAAATCCTTTTATGAATCTAGTTTTTTATAAATAGGTTTTTTATTCTAATGATGCCATTTAGAGGACATATTTTAGAAGGGTATCTTCTTTAGTAAGTCAAATCAACAGAGTTAAAAATATACCAGTATGTGTCTGGGTATATTCATCTTGGGTTACTACAAAAATAGTCTTCTCTCCTACCTGGCAAGAATTTTAAAAAAGGAATAAAAACAAAAAGGTTATTTAAGAAGAATTTTAAAATAAACTCTGATTAATTGGGATTTCTTCCTCTTTCTACTTAGTAATAGACTATTCTAATTGTTTATTTAAGGCTGTGTTGTTAGTTCTAAAACCCTGACAACATCCTTGATGTTTTTAATCTTCAGAATAAACGAATACCAGGAACATGTTTGAGAAACAGAAAAGACTAGCTAGTTCTTGATGGTCCAAAAAATGACCAGTTTTAGTGTCTGCACTGATGACCTCATGTATGACTTGTTCTATGCAAAGGAAATGCTTATACATTTAGAAAAAACTGATGCAAATGAGCAAAATGCAAAAACAAATAAGCCAAACTGCACGGAACAAAAGCATACCTCATAAAGAGGAAGCTAGTTTAAGTACCAAAAGGTGTATGTATATGAGTGACAAACAACATTATTTGAGTATACAATAAATTACACATATCTTAAGTGTACAATTACGTAAGCTCTGACATATGTATTTGTATAGCTTTAAAACCATGACCACAATCCAGATAGCTGAATACAGAACAATATTTCTATAATATAAGTGACAATGTAGTATATACAACAGGCAATATGTAGCATAAAAAGAATACTGTATATTATTAAAACAACTGTCAAGACTATATAGAATGGCATAAAAATAATTTGATTTTGATGAATGTTCATAGTGACCTCAAAAACCTACAATGACTCCAGAAAATTAGAGGACAGAATTTAAACAATGATTCAATGGGTTAAATATTTTAACGCTATCTTTTCCTTTCTGGATAAAAAATGGTACACAATGAACTTACTAGATATGTTAAGAAAAATAAACAGGCATACCAGCATAGACAGCACAGAATTTGTTCACTAACAATATTTGCAAAGAAGAGATTCCTTTTATCCCTTTCTTACTCCATTAAAACAGTTCCTAAGACTAGATAATATACATGTGACTTAAAACAAACAAAACCAATTACATTAAGCATCAGAAGTCTGACAAACCAGAGCAGCACACAGATTTAAAATTTTTGTAAAAAAGTTGTGTATGCATTCAAGCTATGCTATATATAAATCTATTGAAACTTAGACCACAGACCCTAAAAACATTTTAAGCTTGTATATATATAAAGTTATACATCTCAACATTAAGTTCAAAAGTTTAAAATTCTACTGTTAATAAACTTAGAAATTCTGTGCTGAGAAAACATTCTTTTGGCTTGTTTTTCTTAAGTCTTACCTCTTGTTCTCTGAAGGACTGGTTATTAACATCTAGGACTCGTATAGTCCTTTTAATAGGTAGGAGACCTCCAATC